AATCTAATCGTTGTTTACCTCGAGTTAAATCCAATTGTTGTTTACCTTGAGTTAAATTCATTCATCGTTTACCTCAAGCTAAATCCAGTCGTTGATTCCCTCGAGTTAAGTCCAATCGTTGTTTATCTCGAGTTAAATCCAATCGTTGTTTACCTCGAGTTAAATCCAATCATTGTTTACCTCAAGTTAAATCCAATTGTTGTTTACCTTGAGTTAAACCCAATAGTTGTTTATCTTGAGTTAAATCCAATCGTTTACCTTGAGTTAAATCCAATCGTTGTTTACCTCGAGTTAAATCTAATCATTGTTTCCCTTGAGTTAAATCCAGCAATTGTTTCCCTTGAGTTATATCCAACTGTTGTTTACCTCCAGTTAAATTTATTCGTTGTTTACCTCAAGTTAAATCCAGTCGTTGATTCCCTTGAGTTAAACCTAATCGTTGTTTACCTCGAGTTAAATCCAATTGTTGTCAAGTTAAATCCAATTGTTGTTTACTTTGAGATAAATCTAATCGTTGTTTATCTCTAGTTAAATCCAATTGTTGTTTACCTCGAGTTAAATCCAACAGTTGTTTACCTCAAGTTAAATCCAATCTGACTTAACTTCAGACTGTCACAAAGTTCACTCTTCATGCTTGTGAAGCTGCAACAGCTACAATTCCACAAAATATTATAAAGACTGAATATTTGTAGGACTTTAACAAAAAACGGTGTTGTGTTGGCTGGACTGGTTGTATTGGTTGTTTAAGCTGATTATAGTAACTGAGTAGGTTGGGGTGGTTAACCTGGTTGTTTCTTTGGCTGATTTGTGTGGTTGGTTTTGTTTCATGTTATTAGTTGCGAACTAATAATATGAAGACGGCTAACTGCGAACACCATGAACAATCCATCCTTCTCCATTGGAAAAAGGGTGGATTGTTCTCTTTGGGTCGAGGGTGAGGTTCTGTCTCAAGTGAAGGAGTTCACGTATCTCAGAGTGTTGTTCACAAGTGAGGAAAGAATGGGGCGTGAGATTGACAGACGAATTGGTGCATCATCTGCAGTATTGTGGACTCTGTACTGGTCCGTTGTGGTGAAGAGGGAGCTGAGCTTTAAGGCAAAGCTCTCCATTTACTGGTCAGTCTACGTTCCTACCCTCACCTAATAATAATGTGTATGTATTGTCATCATTGTATGTTCTCATACAATGGTGAAATTGGCTGTCTGCATTTAATCCATCACCACCAGATGGAGCAGTGGGCAGCTGTGGAAAGCACCCGGGGAGTAATTGGGGATTATGTGGCCTGCTCAGAAACACCACAAGATGTGCAATGACCGGGGATCGAACCCGGGACCTTTGGGTCCCGAGTTGGCTGCCCTGCCCCTACACCATCTCGGCCCCAACCTATGGTCATGAACTCTGGGTAGTGACAGAAAGAATGAGGTCATGGATACAGGCGGTTGAAATGAGTTTCCTCTGCAGGGTAGCTGGACTCTCCCTTGGAGATAGGGTGAGAAGTTCAGTTATCAGGAGAGACTCAGAGGAGAACCACTGCTCTGCCACATCAAGAGGAGCCAGTTGAGGTGGTTCGGGCATCTGGTAAGGATGCTTCCTGGGCGCCTCCCTAGGGAGGTGCTTCGCACATGTCCAACTGGGAGGAGGTCCCAGGGAAGACCTAGGACACGTTGGAGAGACAAAGTCTCTCGGATGGCCTGGGAAAGCCTTGGGTCCTCCCAGAAGAGCTGGAAGAGGTGGCTGTGGAAAGAGATGTCTGGACCTCCCTGTTCAAACTGCTGCCCCCGAGACACGACTTCGGAACAAGGGGAAGATGATGGATGGATGGACGGATGGATGGAATATTAGTTGCTTGCTTTGTTGAAACTGTTGGTTTCTTTTAGAACGGTGAGTTGTTTGTTGGGTACAGATGTTGGTTAGCTGATTATGGGAGCGTTGTGACGTTGGTCAGTTAAAATAATTGGTTGCTTGGTTAGTTGTCTGGTTATGGAAGAAGGGCTAGTTGGGTTCTTTCTTTTGGTTGGTTGATAGGTTTTGGTTGGGATAATTGATTTCAGGATGGATGGTTGGTTAGTTGGTTGGTTACATAGCTTGTTGGCAAAGTTAGTTAGGATGATGAGTTTAATTGATGAGATGGGTTAGTTGAGCTGGGACTTGTTTTCATGACTGATTGATTGATAATTGGGTTGGTTGGTTATTTTAATGGTTGGTTGTTTATGTAGTTGGACTGGTTGAGTTGAGTGGTTGTATTAATAGTTGGTTGGCTGGCTGGTTGGCTGGTTGTTTGGTTAGGTGGTTGGTTGATTGGGTAAAATGGTGGATTCTGTTGATTGGCTATGGTAGTTTGGTTAGTTGAATTGGATGGTTGTTGTAATGGTGGATTTGGTTGACAAATTAGGGGTTGTTTTCATGGTTGGCTGGTTGATTGATTGATTGGCTCTTTAGGTGATTGTGTTGGTGGGTTATTTTAATGGTTGGTTGGTTAGGTGGTTGAATGATTGGGTAAAAAGCTGGATTTGGTTGATTGGATATGGCAGTTTGGTTGGTTGAGTTGGTTTTTGTAATAGTTAGGTTGATTAAGGTGGATTTGGTTGAAGAGTTGGAGGTTGTTTTCATGGTTGGTTGGTTGATTGATTGATTGATTATTTATTTGGATGGTTGGTTGGTTATGTAATTGGTTGGTGTCATTAATTAATTTGGCTGGTTGGGTAAAATGCTGGATTTGGTTGAGGAATTAAGTTGGTTGGATTGTTGGGTAGGATGGTGGATTTGATTTATGGGCTGGTTCATGAAACCATTTAATCTTTTATAAACTGTTGTTGAACACATTTGCAAATGTGTTTATTCTGCTAACTAGATTAGCCTTGTTCTGCTGGACTCTTTCATGTTGGAATATTTTATAGCTAATTTGTTTTTTAAAGAATTGCTGCTGTTGAAACTTACATTTCATTTTTCAGCTTCCAATGTTGCCGCATGATATATGAATTATTGTTTCTATTACTAGATGAGGTGCTGCAAATTTTAGCAAGGACTCTTTTGAGAGCAAGATTTTATTTGACAAATCTCTTTTTTTTCCAAGTTAAAAATAAAACTGAACATTATCTGATTGATTAAAAACACGAAGAAATGTTTCACACGAGTCACGTTCTGCAGCAGAACCACAGGTTTCACACACGTCCTGCACATTTCCTGAACCACACCTTCAATAATCTTATCACAGTTTGTTGCACGTCCTCCATCCAACACTTCTCTCGTTTTGTGAAGGATGAAGATGGAGGCGAAGAGGAGGATGAGGAGCAGCCAGCCATGAAATAAGAGGGATCGCAGGAAAAAAGCCAAATTGGCAAAGCAGTAAAAAGGAGGCGTTGAGCTCAGACACGACTGACTGCTCCCCTTTCCTCCTGCCAACCACCTATTGATGGAGGTGAGGAAGAGGAGGAGGAAGATGGGAGAGAGATGACCAAGAAGAGGACGGACTCGACAC